AGTAAAATCCCGATGGAATTACAGTTCATTAAAGATGCCTGAATTATAATAATAACAAAGATATAGTAGTAAATAGAATATCAACCAGAATTAGGAAATTTCCACAAAATTCAGGATCATTCAAGGTAAGGATCATATCTGAGCTAACTTCTTTTGGATGCACAAATTAGCCTTCTTAATATGGATCCCAAAAGCCAGCCTCAGCAGTATTTAGTAGTCGAACTCTTAAGGCAAAACTGAGATTCGTTGGTATGCAGTAAATAACCCTGAAAGCATGATTAACGTAAGTCATGTGTTCTGTATCCACAAGATGAGATAGAATAGCACTGTGAATAGATTTTGTTTGTCCTTTGCTTAACCACACGGGGTGATGCTCGGAAATTCGACGAGAAACACGCCTAATTTTACGGCCTATGCAACTGACTCACTCCACAGGAGCAGTTAAACTGGTGCATACACATGGAAGAGGCGAGATTAGCCAGTTTGTCTTTTACTCCTAAACGCAAATTGGTGGTAGTTTTGAAGACTTAGAGTAATTCGGCAGCAGGGAATGCACTTTTACCGCATTTCTAAGGCGCTGAGTTAGTATCTCGCTGGTGATGTCCCCGAGGAACTGCATCTGTAAGAAAAAAGCCTTTTTTGGAACTGTTGGTAACTTGGGCTGCTTTGGTTTTAGATTTATATTCTTATCAATAAACTTTTCAGGATAACCATTTTCACCTAGCAGTCGTTTAATATTATTAAGTTCTTCATCAAGACATTCATCCGAGCAAATCACTTTTGCTCTGGGAGCCAAGCATTTTATCAGACTGCGTTTATTTTTCAAGACACACAAAGCTGAGTAAATGTGTGTACTGACCCGTTGATGTAGGTTTTCTATATACACTTCTTCTTATTGTGCCATCCTCTTTTCTGGTCATAAGAACGTCAAAAAATGAAATACTGGAGTCATTTTCTTTCTCAACAGTGAAATTTATTGCAGGATATACCTCATTAAATTTATCCAGGATGCTTTTTACCTCCTTCTCATTTTTCATAATCAAAAAATTGTCATCCATGTACCGACAACAAAATTCGAGTTCATTAATAACATCCTTCAAAAGCCCACTTTCTAGTTTCGCAAGGAAAATGTCGGCTAGAATGGGTCCTACTGGTGACTCTATTGCACATCATCGACTTGTCTATATATATACATATATATAATAACGTTAACCAGTGGGCAGGCAGAATAACTGCCTGACTAATGTGTTTCAGAAGATATTTAAGTGTGAATACAGAGAGAACATTCACAGATATGTGTAGATCTTGAGAATCCCCAAAATTCCTCTTGTGGTGCTTCTCTTGTTCGAAAAGTATAATGCTGTAATCTTCGTCTGAGATTGAGAGATAGGTTGAATTACAACACAACACTGATTACCAATATTGGTGAAGTTAAACAACACCAACCATCTCAGTATACAAACCTTCGATAACAGGTAGTAAAACAAAACCGTCACACCATGTGTTCTGTTTTTGAATCGTTTAACTGTTATCAGACACATCTAGTGTTGATTCGCAGGGATTTGACTGGCTGCAGGTTATATCATCGGCTGAAATCAGTTAAAAGACCATTGGAAAACCAGGAAGGGAGTACTGGTCAGCTCTTTCACCCTATTTCTGGGCTTTTCAGTAGTACTGATACACCAGCCTTCGAACCCGAGATCTTCTGATTACAGTAAGAAATGTTAGACCATTTAGCTGCTGCGACTCGATCAAATAACAAGTCCATGAATTCCAGGTTCCTTAGATTCGCGATATAAATAGCGCAACCTCTAGCCAGTCTCATCGGTGATCAACTGTTTTCTCACCTAACTTGGCAGACCCCACTGGTTATGACCTCCCATTGGAACTTCAGGTAGCTTTATGTACTGAATGAATAATATATTAGTTGGATCTAATGAAACATGCATATTCAGGCGGTTGGTCCGCTTGGCAGAATAACTGGCCTTTGGAGTGGATTTCGATTTCAGAATAGATTAAAGGAAGAAATCTAAAACATAAGTGAATCTTACAACGCCATGATCTATCCCTAATTATGATTAATTGCTCAGGGTTAATGCTAGGGCTGAAATCACACGCTAAGTGATCGATTTGTTAACGAACATAAACTGTAAATACATCATAAACAGCGGTTTGATTAATGAAAAATATACTTTGGTTTCCCTGTATTACCTCCTGTTCTTACAGTAGTACCTGAATAACTTTTCCGAATATGATTAACCCAAAAATATGCCTGAATTGGATCACAGCAGCTTGCTCAAAATTTGGGCTGCCCAAAAACCTCTGTCATTATACCCTTGAGCATTCCTCATATCCACTGTGTTTTAATCTATTGAAATATGACCTCTAATTGTACCAATTTTTACTTTCGCGAATATTTAAAATGTTTATAACCTAATGATTACTAAGTTTCTACTAAACTTGAGGAAAAAGCATAATCATTGGCGGTCACGTATCCCCCAGGATACTTAGTATAACTGTTCCTGAGAATTCCATTACAACCTGAGATAACAATAAAGAATAGACACCAACTCTAGACGACTATGAAACAGCCAATCAGATTCTTCCGGGTGAAAAGTGGTACTTAATTAACAAAGAAGTGTATCTACAATATATATGTAATAAAAATGAATCATATAGGGCACATGTATCTCTAATATGCTGTGAAAACTGGTCCCAGATTCTCACAGAAGTGTTTGTAGACATATCAAATCAATGTATTCTTTATTTCTCCAGCTGTAGCAGATACTCGGCGCACTTAAACAATATATTACTAAGGAAAAGAGCTTTGATTTCGAGAAGAAAGTGTTTAAAAAACTCACCAATTATGTACGGCTCACCGACTTATACAGACTTCCTCATATAAAGTGTTTCCATCTGAATGTATAACTGTGGTGACAGCAGGCTGCTAGCCAATTGGCAGACATTAATTTACGTCGACGTCTAGGTCGCTAATATTGGCCGTGAGAAAATATGAACAAGACTGATTCAACAACCAATCACAGCAGACTTAACGTGGGCAAATAAGATTCGCAGGCATATGGCCTAACTTTCTGAGTAACCACTCACAAGCAGTACAGAATAACCTTGAGCAAGAAACAACCAATCAGAAGACTGTGTTTGTCTGCTTAAATAAGCTATAATAATGTACATGAAATATATATAAATACGTGCTGATTTCCGTAATAAAACGATCTGTTGCCTGGCCCTTGTCTTCTGTTGTTACATAATCATCAATAGCCCGGCAATACTTTTGTAAATTCATGATCGCTCTACATATGCACTTTTTATGCCTTCCTGTCAACCCATTTTCCACAGAGAAGTTAAAAACCAAATCTGGGAGACATTTTCAACTAGGATTATGATTAGCAACCATTTGTAATGCTGAGCTATCTAAATGATCAATACAAGGTCATTCAAGTGATAAAATGAAATGAAATAAAAAATATAAAAAAACATTACTATGACCAAGGTAAAGAAAGGAGTTTGACAAAACGTTTTTGAACACATAATTTAGCTTTTTGTTCATCCATAGCTAAAGCTTCAAAGTTATGCAAGTGAAAAGCAACAAGTTGGAAGAAGAAGCATCAAAGACAGGACTTCAGGTGGACAAAGATAAAATAGAGGTGATGAAGATTCCTGGCCAACACCAACAGCAACAACAACACACTGCAATCAGCCAGCATAAATGGGAGGAACCTGAAAGAAACAACCACCTTCACCTACGTACCTACCTACCTGGGAAGCATCGTTTCCACTACAGGCGGACGGAACTGACGAGGATATCAAAGCGAGGATCGGGAAAGCAAGATAAGCTTTCATTACTCTCAAGTCTATGTGGAGGTCAACAGCACTCATCAAAAATAAGATCCGGATTTTCAACTCCAATGTGAAGTCAGTGCTGCTCATAATACGGATCAGAGACTTGGCTAGCGCGTCATAAAGAGCATCACAAACAAACTACAAACCTTCATTAACAGTTGTCTCCGCTCAACACTACTCAAGATCAGATGGCTGGCCAGAAAAGATCAGCAACAGAGATCTCTGGCAATGAGCGAACCAACCCCGCAGGAACCGATTGTGAAACAAATAGGCATACAGGAGGAAGTGGAGATGGATTGGCCATACTCTGAGGAAACCACCAATTGAGTGACATTACTAGAGTGGAACTCGAAAGGAAAGCGGTGAGTTGGTCTTCCAAGGGTGACTTGGAGGACGTCATGTGAAGAGGAGATGAAAGCATGTGGGCAGACTTGGAGCGCGGGGTGAAAAAGTTGGCAGAAAACCAGACGCAATGGAGACGCGCGGCTGAAGCCCTATGTTCCTCTAGCAATTAAATGATATAATAATAATAACAGCTAAAGCTTTGGCTATGCATAAGTGAAGAAAACGTAAACTTTTGGATCGACTCGATTCGGCCATGTAGATAACTTTGAAATATGAATCACGTGGGGCTAAATGACCGGACTCTAACAGGTGATCACAAATAGACGACTTCGCACTTGACATTTTTTAAAACATTTTTGATATCGATTCACTTATATAACAATCTTTAATAATTTTGTAGTTTATAACATTTTAATTATCGTTATTCTTATCACATATATATATATATGTGTATATTGACTGAGAAATTATTTAGTGCCACTTAATAACCTTTTTCTGTAATATAAATACGACTATGCAGTTGGCTTGAAAATGAAGTCGTTGAAAAGAAATTTCTTCGCTGAACAAAGATAAACTGTTTTTTTACTCATGAATAAATGGGTATTTTACTGTTATAATTAATTATCATGGTGAAAGAGAAAATACTAGGCAACGAATTTAGGTGAAAACTTTGTACATTGCATAAAAACTGTTTGGGGGTTAAGGTATTATTATTATTATCATATATTATTAAAAGATTGATGTTTTTATTTTATCTTAATTCATTTCTCTCTATATATCTCTCTGTTCAACAGTTTTCATCCTGATTCATATATTGCAAATAAACGCAAAAATGCTCCACTCTATGGTGGAAATTACCAGAGACCAATCGATTTGATGAATTTACGACACAGTCCTACAGACGGCAATCTACACTTATCCACTAATCATAATCATAATAGTCATCATAATACCTCCTGTTTGTCTAACATTAACTCTAATAACAATAACAATAATAATAATAACAATTGTAATCATATTAATAATAATAATACTATTAATAATTCTCAATCTCTTTCACCGTTATCATTTAGTTTATCAAGTCATCAAAGACAATCATTTAAACAAACATCTTATCCACAGGATGTGAATAATTCATTAACTGATATTTGTTCTGCATGTTCTTCACTATCTGATTATACAACAAATGGTAATAATTATTCATGTCAAAATAATACATGTTCATCATTGTATAATGGACGAACATCACCAGGAACAAATTGGCTTACGAGTGGTTCAAGTGGAAAGGGAGGCAGTACATGCGCCAGACATCGTAATCTCCCCTCGTTACCAAATTTAAATGAAAATCAACAGCATCAGCTACAGCACACAAGAACACTGACACCCTCGCAAATGAACATCCCTACAGTGGCATGGAGAGTGAAAGATGCTAAAGAGCATTATTATGACAAAAAGTTGTTACGTTTAATTGAACAATTGCCTAGAGAAAGACAAAATTCAATTGGTTTAATACTTTTAGCAATGGATGTTAAATTGATTAATCGGAATTCAATTAAACCGAACCATAATAATAATAATAATAATTCTGATGATAATGATATCTACTGTGGTGGTTTGGAATATCGTTTACGTGAAGCTCTTGAATTAGTACAGCCTAAGAAACCAGCTCAAAATAATAATTATGAAACAAGTTTGCATACTACTGAATTCAGTAATAAATCATTTCCGAATAAAATTGTTGATGTTAGAACTAGAAAGTAGGTTTTATTGTTTACTTTTTTTAATAGTAGTTTTTTAAATATTTACTTATAACTATAATTGTGGATTTTTAATTAAATTTTAATTTATTTAATTTAATCTTTTCATAGCTTGACTCCAGAAAGTATTTTTGATACAAGTATGGAATTTTCAGCATGTGATACCGGTAGGCCAAATTTAGCAGGCGGCCAAGTGATATCAGCTGTGGGTCGGCAGGGGATCGAAACCCAGACCATGTGAATGGTCGACGAACGTCCTAACCGCTATACCACCAACGCATGAGCTCATCAGACATGCGGAGAAATGTCTAACCTCTTAGAGAAAGTTAAGTGGATTATTGAGCAGGCTCACAGTAAAAATCATTTTGGATTTATGAATAAACCAGTGCAAATCCCTGTAAATTTCCACTTGAGAGAACAGATACCCACCGATGAGATTGGTTAGTGGTGGTGCTCTTTTATATAGCGAATTGACAGAAGTTAGAATTGATGGGCCCGCCATTGGATTCTACCGCAGTTTTCAAATGGTCAGCAAGCTTGCCTGAAGGTTTTGAGTTTGATCCTAAGCGTGGGAGGGGGTGCGTACTGCTAAAGAATTTCAAATTTCCCGGCATTGTAAATATAAACCGAACTTTGAGTTGTTAAGTCACAGTATAATAAAGGTTTTTGTATTTATCAATGAATGAAAAACACAACGATATTGTTTTTACTGACGTTTCGCTATTTAATGCTAATAGCTAATAGCTTTATCAAAGTATTATTAAATCGGAATTTACAAAATCTCGGCATATATCTAACAAAGAGTTAAGGAGTAAAAAAATAGACTACTTAGGCCAAGTTAAAGGGACATACTGAAAGCCGAAATAACAATGATGTTCACGAAACCAAATATCAAAGGTAATAGTACATCTGTTATGGTATCAAAACAAGGTTTACTAACTTTATGGGGTCATTTGTCGTTGTCAAGTTGGCCAATTGGTAAAGATAACAAAATCAGGTGTAGATTGTTGGATTTAATCAGTGTGTAAAATTATAAAATTAGTGTGTGTGTTTACATAGTGAACCTGCTTATCACATTCGTGTTGATTTTGTCACTTCGCGGGGGAGGGAGGTGTTGTACCCAGGTCAGATTCTGTTTTAGTCCGTCATTCCTATTCAGTTCAGGCAATTTGGATTCCACTTGATATGAGGTGCTTCTGATGATATTAGACGTTACTTGTGATTTCTGAAGTGCTTTTTCTGGATTATTTCAATATTGTCAAAATCAATTTTGTGGTCTAATTCTATGGCGTGTAGACCAATGGCTGATGATTTTTCAAGTTTTTCTTGTTCAACTGAATTTCTTGATGGTCAAACAGATCCTCTACTGTGTTCATTTCTTCTGATTTTGATTTCTATCTGACGATGTTTGTCCGATGTATGCCGTATCACATTCCAAGCAAGCATCTTATTTTGTAGACACAATTAGATACGGAATCTTTTGGGATTTTGTCTTTTATATGGACAAAGTTGCTTTGAAGTGTGTCTGATGTTTTGAAGAAATCTCTGATGTTGAGATTAGATGATGGTGAGATTAGATGGTATGTTTCTTTGTGTCAATAATATGTGTGATATCTTTTGACGAAAAGATTGTGATTCTTCATTGATGAATTGTGATAAAGCTATTAGCATTACATAGCGAAACGTCAGTAAAAGCAATATCGTTTTGTTATTCATTCATTCATTGGGAAATACAAAAATCTTTACTATAATGAATATCATATACCCAATGCCCACATTTTTTCAAACCGTTAAATGTGAACTTGGTTTGGACGTATATTAATTAGGTCACAGTGATATACGTTGTTTCAGTTTATTAGGCTTTTTATGTTGGTTCATGATGGAATCGAATAACTGAAATTCAACTAATTCAAATCCTCACAAATGTCACAATTTGAATATGAATCACCAGCTCACTGATAGTTGCTCCTGAATGGATGTCCTGAACCTGTAGTTAGAAGTTGTGACCATTGGGATCTACTCTGCTCATCGAAGGTACTGGTGAGTGTAGTACTATATGAAGAGTTGACAAAGTTATAATTCACGAGTCACTGAATTTCTGTGCGAGTGTCAGGGTTCCATCCCTGGACAGGTAATGGATTCTCCCTGACGAAGAGTCCCAAACTGGGACGAAACAGTTGTCCGGGACTTCCTGATTTAAAATGATGGGTGTGTTGTTTTGTAATGAAATCTAATAACTGAAATTAAATTAAAACCAATTCCCGACAAATTCTATAATCTATGTATTAAATTATAATTTGCCACAACGGACACCGATATTCTAAAAGCACATAATTATTCATAACAGATGTACAGATATAGCTAAAATACATTTACTTAACATGGAAATCACAATTTCCACATGTTCTTCATATTGCACTTCTTTTGACTTCCTTCCTTTGGTATTTTCTATGTTGTTTCACAAAATTCGTTCATTTTATCTTTTCACCAGTAAATCCATCACTCTGCTATTCAGTATTCTTCCAGATGTCATAAATATACACATATATATACTACTTCAAAAATCTTGTCGGCAAAACACACATCACACAATATGACCGTTAACTAGTACTCAAAAGACACTACTCTAATTGCAATGTTCGCATTGTCAACTACAATAAAACAATACTACCTCCGACAGGCGACAACAACAGACAAAACAGAGAGCTAACTGGAGACCAGTTGCATCCCCGAAACAAAAATTAAGGGCACGTCAAAATGTTTTCCTAGTTAGTTGGTTTAATTGCGGAGCTTTCGTCGTGCTTCTGGACAACATCGCCAAGCAGTTTGTTCAACTCCTCACCTGTGCAGATGCCCAATTGCAGGTGACGAGGGATGATACGGGTTTTCTTGTTGTCACGCGTGGCACTACCATCCAATTCAAGTAGTTCAGCAGCCAGATATTGGAGGACAGCTGCCAAGTAGACGAAGGCTCCAGCACTGAGGCGTTCAGAGTTGTTACCTTTGCGCAACAGACGTTACACACGGCCAACTAGGAACTGAAAACCTGTTATTCTCTATCACATCGAAAGGTTGCTGAATATATTAATTTCTAAATGACCTCGACAGCAATGAATTTACTGAGAGGTTAAAGCTAATGTTCACCAATGAGAGTTTAGCCTTCGTAAAGAAAAGGAATACAGAATGTGTGATACTGCTAAGTATACATATTTTAAGATTAGGAAAAATTAGCTATAGATAACAGAGCTATAATATATTACCGCTAGAATTCCGTTATCGTTTCGGCAACTCTAGATTATAGCCAGCCTAAACGAAACTACCTAATAAAGCAATTAGATAAGCCCATAGTTCAACCATGGAATCATAGTTGCAGTACACGAATTAGGCTGCAAACCCCATTAAGAGGCAGTATTTGAGAACTGTTGGGATGACACGCCTATAAGAAGCTTGTGGATATAGACGAATAATGTCTTTACAGAGGTATGCATCCACTGTTCATCGATATCTGTACAGATATCCAGGCTGTCGTCATAGAAAATCTGTCCGAGAAGATATGTTGTTCCTTTTTTAAGTTCATGATGCTGTAGAGTGGTAGATACGTCACGAAACAGCATGATTTACACTTATCGAGATGAATTTATGTACAGTAATAGGTTTGGACTACCAATGAAGATTCTAACAAGGAATTAGGAGGTTTTGATTGGGGTACACACGAAAAAGTTATCCAGTATACGTAAATGGTATAAAAAAGCGTTTTTTAAATCCCCCACATTTACTACGGTCTCATCTGATTGGTTGATCAAGGCCATTACATCCGTTGCTTCGGTAGTTTCGTTTTGGACCACTATAGTTTAGAGTAACTCTGGTTTCTTACTTGAGAAAACTTAAACTTGCATCACCATTTTAGTGAAGCTTCCAAAGGTATTCCACGAAGCCAAATACCTTGACACACTCATTCAGTATCGTTCTAGAAGGTGTTAGTTAGTGAAAAAGAAAGTCACATTCAAATCAAACTAATTTTTGATAAATGATACATATTTGACTTTGTAAAATGAACAAATTCTTTGTATTAAAAAACTGTACTGACCGACGGTTATTACAAAGCTAAAAGGAATTCAGTAGATTTCATAGATTGTAATCACTTGTGTGTCGAATAACCTGGAGTTAGTACAGTGGATTAAGACTCAATTCAGGTTAAAAAATCCATACTGAGAGAGGAAGTCCTCAGAAATAACCATTTACCTCCAAATTTCATAATATATTGACTCCAGTTAGATAGCCTCTGAAAATCAGAGAATACTGAAGCATCATTTCGTCCTAATATGGGACTATTCCTCTGTAGACGCATATGACACTACCCCTAAGGATCTAACCCAGGGTCTTCCTCTTTATTACTATTCCTTTGTCTCACACCTCTGTTTACTGTCTCTAATATGCATTTCTTCTACTTTCTTCTCTTGCTTTGTGTGGTACATAGAGTGTGGAGACTTGAACTGCCGCACATCGGTACAAAGTTCTATGTCGAAAACAGACAGATAGACAGACTTGAACCGATCAACAAATATTCAAAGAGAAACAGATACCAATATCGAAAATATGCTCCTTATTTTTGATTAGACACTAGAAACTAGTGTGATTTGTCTAGTCCTATCTTTGCTTCAGACTGAATTCAATCAGTCAGGTTTCAAATGTGATCAGTATTATAGGTAGCTTGCTATCACGGTGCACACTGATTTGATAATATTACACGGCTTTTGGTCACATTGTAAGCATGAGTGATAGAATTCAGTCCGTAACAAAGAAAAGACTAGACACATCACACTGACTACTAGTGTCCAATTAAAGTATCCACTACAGTGCTCCAGGAGATAATCGCGAGCCTAAATAGCTCAGTGGTCGATTTTTCAACTGCACCAGTCACTAGGTGACGCGGATTCTAATCTCAGATTGGTTGCAGATACGCCTTGTTGACTGATGAATGCCAACTAGCATGAAATCTA